AAAAGTGTTTGGTTAGAAGGCTACTCAAGTACCGTATAACCAGGCTTGAACTGGTAACCTGTAATACCAGTCATTTGCCTGTTGGGCCGGTCCTATTTTCAGTGTGCGAGATCCAGCCCTCCTTAAATCATACCAGCCTCAATACTTATTCTTCAGCCGAAGCTCCTACCTGGTACAGTAAATAACTCAAGGAGCTAAAGAAGTAATAAAATATTAACTACCTTCATGATGCATGCAGTATATAAAGCCCTTCCTTGTCATGCACATCCTTGTGATGGTTGGCATAGCGTGTAATTTTCTATTTCTTCAAACTGTAAAATCCGTTCAACAAACTAAATTAAAATAAAACTAAAATGCTTTCTTTAAACCTAACTACGATGCTCCTCTTATATTTGGAGATTTTATTTTCAAATTATTTGCAAAAATATGTTGCGGTGCATGATGGGGTTTTGCATCTAAAGGCTAACGTTTCCTGTCTTACATGCATTGTTGAAAGTTTGGGATGTTTCCCAATCTGGCAGTTTAGGATGGCCGTCTATGGGGGGAAATTTTTCCTTTAGATTTATGTCCTAAGAGAACAATACTTTCAAATTGGGTGAGATTTTTCGTATATCCAGGCGGTTTATGAAAATTTTTTTGGGCTGAACACGAGTCAGTGACATCTGGTAACCCATTTTGAACCAAATATTAAGTTATATGCAAATGCTGGTGTTTCAAAGAATAAAAATTATACATAAAATAAAATTGGAAATAAAGTTATTAAAGAAAATCAATAGTTTCACTCAGCAGATGGAAAATAACATTTAACCAAAAAGCTTTGAACTGAAAGACTCCTGAATAGGTGTCAAAGTCTTCAGAAAACGTTAAAGTCAGTTATACGACCCAAATGACTAAGAATTTACACAATATGCCTTCAGTACAAAGAAGAAAGTGTGTCCCTCAGTGGTACATATTTGTTTACAAGCTTTTATTTTTCTTCATAAGTTACAACAGATGGAGTACCCAGAAATTTAACTCAGGTAAAAGTAGTGGTACTTTATTATATTTTAATTCAAGTAAAAGTAAAAAGTACAATTCTGTAAAGCTACTCCAATTTTTTTTTTCTTTAACCCTTTAAAGCCCAATCCAAGAATAAAAAAAACCCAGAAAATTACTTTCTTTTGGGTTTGAAGTCCTTATTTGGCCTTTTAACAAAATATGTAAAAAGAAAAAACAGAAATACATTTTTGATATAAAATATTTTTTGTGCAGTCTTCTGCCCTCTGTTATCAGGTATATCTGATTGTGTACAATAGGATTTTGAGCATAGATTTTACCATTAAATTATGCAAAAGGTGTCAGACGCAAAACATTTCAGAAACCGTATGTATCAAATATGATACATTTGGCATTACAGGGTTAAATTAAATGTAACTAGTTGCCACCTACTTCTGCTCAGCAGATAACATGACCCTTTACTGACAGCCTTGTTCTTGACCTGTGGTTGGAAGCTGAAGTAACCGTAGGCGACCAACTGATGCACAAAGACTGCATGCAACTTCTAGCAAAAAAGAAACATCAAAAATATGCCGGAACCCGACTTTAATGTTATAAACTGAGAATCACAAATATAAGAGTTTGCAGGTTTTTTTTCATATAGTTTGCAAAATAAATTGGGGATGCAGGCTGTCATCATCATAAGCTTCATTGTTATTTATTTCTTCTCCACAGGGTGGCGCTACAGGCAAGCAGATGTTCAGACTGCAGATGTAAATATGAAGCTTAGAGGACAGAAGCATCTAAACCCAGCCTTGAGTTACATTTGGGGTTACTGTCCATGGAAAACAGAGCAAGGAATCCTTTTTCAGATAAACACTAAGCTTCCTCTTCAGGGTTTGGGTCAGGAGGATGACATGTCCGCATCAGGAGCAGACTAATGATTTTCTTGCAGCAAAGAATATTTAATATTCTGTATATTTCAGGTGAAAGTCTGCACACGCTTTGGTGTTTCTAAAAAAGCAGAGCAGAAATGTGAGCTGCAGGTGCTGCAGCTCTCCACTGAGGCCCTCTGCTTTGTAAACAGACCCACTAGGTCTAGGTAATAAAGCCATGATTTTCTTTCATCTTCAGCACATATAAACAGCCCAGAAAAGTGGGCCGTCACAGCAGTCATAAATCAGTAGAGAAGATGAGGTAATAAAGCACACATGGGGTGAGTCCACAACAGCAAAACAGCCCAGACTCCCTCATCAAGCAGGGCTGATGATAGCAGTAGCTCAGTGCGCAACAGACACGACTTTCTGGGCTGCTGCTGCACAGCTTAGCTGATCCTGTTTTATATAAGAAGCTGCTGCGCTTTTCTTGGTAGATCTCTATAAACAGGCTGTCATAATTTAATTTACCTTCAACAGAGAGGAGTAAAGAGAAATAGCTGGATTTCATGTGGCATGTTGTGATTTCTGCAGGAACCATATAACTGAGTCATAAATAGGCTTTAAAAAAAAATCACCCCCCTCTTAAAAGAAAAAAAACATCTGCAAGACAAATTCCTGGCTTCCTCCAGCCGGATTAAATATTTTCCTGGATCAGGACGGAAATCATTTCCCATACAACATCAGCATGCTCTGATTTTCAACAGGAAAGAGAAAAAAAAATCTCACCTGAAAGTCATTCTGTCGATGAACAAAACCAAGAAAAGAATCCTAAACCCTTCAAAACTTTTCACATTTTTATTTTAGTATACTTATATTTTTATTCAGTCCCACATGGACCAAAAACACCCTAAAAGTGAGAACCCCTAATAAATTTCTGTTTCATAAATTCCCTTAAGAAGTCTCCTAATTAGGAGCATGAAATGACAGCAAACCCAAAAAGACATGGAAATCAGCTCCGACTAAAAGATCCAAAGGGAGAGAACTGATCAGAGTAGCAGCCTCACTGTAAAAACCTTCTAAAATTGATAAAAATTCATCAAAATAAGTGTATTTTCCCTTAATTTAAGTCATTGGAATTAATATTTTACTCTTATAATGAGATAATTAGATGATATGCAGATGAAATAAGAGACTGTAGATGTTTTTTTCTTATTTTAAATGTAAACTGTCTTATTCCATTGGCAAAGTGTCTCAGTAATTTGCTCAATTCAAGAAAAACAAAGCACTTATTTCAAGAAAGAATAACTAACTTAGGTTTTCCAAAAAAGTAAAAAAAAAAAAAAAAAAAAAAAAATCCACTGGACTTTGTTTCCAAGTTCAAAGACATTTGAGCTTTTTCAATTCAAAATGTCATAAATAGCATTAAGTTTCAGGCGTTATAGAGTGGATCAATAAAGTCTCGTTAAAAAGACTTGAACTTAATGCTCTTTCTGACATTTTGAACTGAAAAAGCTTCCTGTACTGCAAAAAAATGAAATCTAAATAAGTCATTTTTTCTTAAAATAAGTGCATTTTTTCTTGAATTAAGCATTTAAGTGAGACACTTTGCCAATGGAACAAGACAATTTACACTTAAAAAAAGAAATAAACAA